CAAGCCATCTGTCGATTTCTCTGTTCATTACACTCAGAAGTTCCTCCCCGGTGTGACTACGTTCGCCAAGGCATACCAGTGTGCAGCACACCTTGGACACCGTTGCGCCCTGCACATGTGATATGCCGGTCGTCGGGTAATGGGACTTGGCACGGGGGGTGGCGGCTGAGGACACGACGGAAGAAGAGGTTGTAGAGGCGGACATCTTTGCTGGACCAAGGACGTGCAAACATGGAGGCAAAAACGCGGCGTGACCTGTCCAAGTTGCTGGTGCGGCTGTGCCGGCACCACGTTCACCCAGTGGGGCCCGTTAAATGACATGTACTGTCCCTGACCGTAGTTACAGCTCCACACGTCGGCGCTGCCGTGCACTTTGGCAGAGACAGACATGCTCAAAGACTGGCCCACCATCTCTTTCTACATGTGAATGCAGGGCTCGCACTGCCTTTTTGGCGAAGAAATGCCGGCTTGGCACTCTCCACCGCGGCTCGGCACAAGCCATCATTTCTCGGAAAGGTGCTGAGTCCACCACCTTGGAAAGGGAGGGACTGCAGCACCAGCAACTTGGACAGGAGGACGTTCAGCTTCTGCACCGTCGGGTGCGTGCTCGCAAACTGTTGTTCTCTTGGAAAAACGGATTCCAAGAAAGACTGCTGACGGAATCCTTGAAGAGGAGTAGCAGGAGAAGGAGCATCTGAACGAGCGGAAGATGCCAACGAGCGACAACTCCCCTCAGCAGAGTGGTGTTGGAGCCTTGACTGGCTGATAGAGGGCGATTGACGTCGGGTGACGGAGCAAGTAACGGAGCGGGTGATGGAGCGGGGGCTGGGGCAGGCAGAACCGCCGTATCTTTATCACGGTTTTTCCCAGGCCACCGAATGGCGACGACGACGCTGCATATGCTGACGCAACGCTGTAGTCCCAACATGGGCCCCCTGGCCACGCTTGGACTTTCTGGCCACATAGTCGGACATACGGCTACGTTTACTTCCTCGGGCGGCTCTTGACGAAAAATTGCCACACCGCCGAGTAGGAAACTTTGCCCCCGCTACTCCTCACTGGCTGACTGCTACTTCCTCGTGCACACCGGCACCACTACTGGCCGTGGTGGTAGGCTGCAGTGGAGCTGGTGCTCTACTCCGTGGCCGTTTGCCTCCACTGACACTGCTGCGACCCTGCTGCCTCCCGTGGGCAACCCACCGACTGTTTTGCTCGCTGGCAAGCTGGCAACCCTCTTCTCCTGATGATGGCGGAAGCAATAGCCTGATGACGACAGAGGCTGCCAAGTGGCGATCAGCCTCATCATCATCAATTAGGGTCTCCGCGTCCACTACTAGCCCCCTCCCCTGGACTGCGTTTGGGTCAGGAGGACAGACCTGTCTCTAGACCGGCTACACCGAGCCACTCTCCTCGCCAGTACTTCTTCGCCTGGCTGCTGAAGAGGCGGATGTCTCCCCCGTTCCTGACTTCGCCCTCTGTTAGCTCTTCCTCACTGTACAGTGGGGCTGAGCCCACAGCATGCGATACTTCGCTTGGTGAGGGAACACCAAAGGACAGGGGCAGGTCGAGGACACGTGATTTCAGTGGGCTTGCTCCCGGGCATGCCAACTAATGGTTGTGTCTGACGTACCCACCGACCGTTGGACTGTAGGTGTCAGAGGGTGACCTGGAAAGAGGAAGACGACCGAGTCAACCAATCGATGATGGCAGGGTTGTCGGTGGAGACACGACCGCTGGATGACACCGGGAGCACTGGCCTCTGGGCTGCGACTAGTGCTGCCTCGACCCCTTCCTCTGCTGCCACGTCTGCTCGCTCCTGAAACATTGCCTCCTCTGCCACTCCTCTGCGTGTTGTCTGACATTACTCTTTAATTCAATAAGCACCCCAAACATAAAACAGATTTAACTCTTTGAACGTACAATATGGTTGTGAAGCAGAAAGTAACGATTCTGTGTCCCTGAGTAACGATTCTGAGTCCCTGAGTAACGATTCTGTGTCCCTGAGTAAACGATTCTGTGTCTGTCCCTGAGTAACGATTCTGTGTCTGTCCTGAGTAACGATTCTGTGTCCCTGAGTAACGATTCTGTGTCTGTCCCTGAGTAACGATTCTGTGTCCCTGAGTGTGTCCCTGAGTAACGATTCCGTGTCTGTCCCTGAGTAACGATTCTGTGTCCCTGAGTAACGATTCTGTGTCCCTGAGTAACGATTCTGTGGCCCTAAAGTCTCTGTGGCCCTAACTCTGTCCCTAATACAGACAGGTCTGTCTCTCTTGAATGACCAGAGGCTAATGGAGAATTCTAAGATGGCCGCGATTTATAGCTCCACCATTACACAGTGCTGGCTGGCTGGCTGCTGATTGGCTAATGCGATCACATGTCATGAATGAATGCATTATGGGTCAGCGCGCCTTGTCTGCGCGCCTTCCCACAGATCCCCGCTCCGTCGCCACACATGTCGCCGCCATTTTTGGGAAAATTCGATTCGTGCATCCGAAGTTTGCTAATTTTCGGATTCGGCGCGAATCGAATTTTTCCTAATCTTCGAAACGAATTCCACTTCGTCATGTTCGATTCGCTCATCTCTAAATATATTGGCCAATTATTTGGTAGAATATAAAAGATGGTATGCCGAGTAAATAGATACCAAACATGACATGACTTAAAACTTTGCAGCCCCTTGCAATGGAAACAAACTGCATACAATTTTAATATCCATAGGCAATTTTTTAAAAGCCTGTACAAGCTACCATTTTAGATGTACAGAGGAGGTCTGGTGTTAGAATCACTGCCCTTGATCTGACGTTCACGGCGATACCTCACATGCATGGTGCAACCGCTGTTTACATACCGGCACAGGGTCAACGCTCATGCACACAGGTGTGCGCGTGTGAAGGGGACGAGGTTTTTTTTTTTAAGTTATTTTGATTTTTTAAATTATTTTTACACTTTCCCTTTCATTTTATTTTTATCACTTTTAATGCTATCACAGGGAATGCAAATATCCCCTATAACTTCAATGGGCATTGTCATATATTCTTTTGAGAAATCTGGGTTCTATCAGACTCTAGATCTCTCCTCTGCCCTTACATTATCTAATCAAAGCAAGTTTGTGTGATCAGATGTTTTCCCAATTTACAAAAGGCGCTGTTTATATCCTGCAAAACTGAAGTGATGAAATGCTCGTAGCTTCTTATTTCTTAGGCTATAGAGATGATTGGCCCCATTCTGGTCTCCAATCAGCTCTATGGTCAGCTGGCAGAAACACTGGCTGTATTCTCAGGTTCCCCCGATGACACGGGACTGCCCGAGAAGGCCGTGGAAGGCAGCGGGGGAGGGGGGCATCATCTCCCACTGCTTGTAAAAGCAATCCTGCAGCTAATTAGACACTAGGATTGCTTTTACATGAAAGCCGATCAGCGGCTGAAAAAAATGATACCAGGATGATGCCTACAGCTGTAGGCATCATTCTGGTATAACCATTCAAAGTCCAGTGATGTACCAGTACGTCGCTGGTCTGTGTTGGGTATATATGCTATGTTCTTTTTTGTATGCAGCTTGTGGACTGAATGGGAAAAAAAGAGAAGAAATCTCTGCCAGAAAAAGTGTGTGGTATGCCCACCATTAGAATATACCGCCCTGCATCTACTCACTTCTAATGCTGGGCACACATTAGGTCACACTGTGCCACATTTTCCAGTTCCAAGATTGTACAAATGTCTAAATAGTGGCACACTCGAATAAAAATTGTCCACGTATAAGTGGTACCCCATATGGATAAAGGATGACATTAAGTCCCAAACGATCTTGCCACTGCTTCCCATGTAGTCTGGGCATCCAGGGGGCTCCACGTGACTATCTTTTCCCTTGTAAATACGAAACTTATAAGTATAGCCTGTTGCCCTCTCACAGGTCTTTTACATCTTGACCCCATATCTGGCAGGCTTGCTGGTGAGAAATGGTTTGAATGCAAGATGGACAGAAAAATTAATTAGGGACTCAACGCAGATGTTTTGCTGGGAAGTATAGACATCTGCAAATTTTTGGTTAAGGTGATTTTCGAGGGGCTGAATTTTGTGGAGCTGGTCAAATTCAGGGTCACACCAAGGACGACAGAGCATCAATACACTCTGTCGTCCTTCGGTGTGACCCTGAATTTGACCGTTGAAATGCATAAAATACATTATACTCTCATATCTATGCCTGGCCATGGCAGCAGAGAACACGGGCATGGGATAAATTGGGTATGTGGACCAATACAACAGCAATTAATTTTTTTTTAGTAATGCCCGTGTTGAGGGTTAGGCCCAAAAAAAAAAAAAATGTAAATTCGGAAACCGTAATGAGTTTCCATGTGAATGGTCTGGCAAGGTTTGCATTTGGGTTGGTGGTGATAAATTGTTGTGCATATAAATTGCTTTGATCCACAATCAATGCATACAGATCTTCTGTGAAACAGCTCCAAAAAAATCAAGGGGAGTAGTTAAATTTGCTGTTTCCACCTGAATTCCGGGTTGGGCAGTGAATGGGGGAAGTACGGGTGCTGCAGATTTTGTGGGCTGCCAATTTGGATTTGCAAGCACATCCGGAAGGATATTAGGGGCTCTACGAGCCTGTGTGCGAATTCTTGGTGGTTGCGGGACAATACTTGTGCTCGCCACCACACCAGCTTGTACTACACTTATGGGACTTGCCACATCTCCAAGTCATACTGCAGTGCTGGTATTATTATACAGGATTTATACAGCTCCAACAGTTTGCTCAGCGCTTTACAATATAACGGGAGACAATACAGCAACAATACAGTTCAATTGTCAGGGCTCCGGGTATGACCAGAGGTGTGTGGACTGACATAGGGAAATGCAGGCTTCAGGTATAGAGTAAACAAGACAATTTATTAAAGACTAAACAACACAAATGCAGTGCAAGGTAAACATAACACTGCAAACAACCCAACCTCCAACAGATAACCATATATACAAATCAAATGTAGTCGGGCAGGCCGGGTCGGTAGCAAACAGGGTACCAGGAGCGAGCGGAAGAGTGGTCAGGACAGGCGGAGGTCTTTCAGAGTCAGGATCAGGCAGGAAGCAGACAGGATGCAGGTACAGGGGCTCATGGGAAACATACACCAAGGCACTGATCACAGGCCTGACCTGATTGCAGGAGTGAGATTCTGGCTGCTAAGAGCACCCGCTGGCCAGCCTTGGTACTTCAGCCCACAAAGCAGGTGAGTCCCACCATCATTGGCGAGTCCATTCCTGACAGTACCCCCCCTCAAGGAGCGGCCTCAGGATGCTCCAAACAGTCCTTAGTGGGCAAAATGTTCCACCGCCTGGGTCAGGTAACTGGCTGGATATCAGGGGCAGGCACATCAGGCTGGGCAGTGGACACCGGGCCATCAGGCGAAGCAGCGGGCACCGGGCCATCAGGCGGAGCAGCGGGGGCACCGGGCCATCTGGCAGAACAGCGGGCACCGGGCCATCTGGCAGAACAGCGGGCACAGAGTCACCAAGCTCGACAGCAGGCACCGAGTCATCTGGCACGACAGCGGGCTCAGAGTCATCTGGCACGAGAGCGGGCACCGAGGCACCAGGCCGGACCGGGTCATCAGGCTGGATCACAAACACCGGGTCATCAAGCTGGATTGGGCCATCAGGCCAGATCGAGTCATCGGGCTGGGTAGCTGGCACCAGATCATCAAGCTGGATAGGATCATCCGACCGGATCGGGTCATCAGGCTGGGTAGCGTACACTGGGGCATCAGGCTGAACAAAGGAAGGCGGGTTCACAGACGGCAGGCTGACTGGTTTGGATACTGGTAGGATGGTACTGGTTGGAAAGAATTTTCGCTTCTTCTTGGGTTTAGTTACTGGGGCACTGCAAGTAAATGCAGGTCTGTAAATGGAAGGAGTAGCTGGAGACAGAGAAGAGCTGGAGGATGGAACAGAGGAGGGAATAGTTGCTACAGCAGCCTTTTTTACAGGGTTAAAAGGCAGGATAGGTGCAGCGAGTGGGAACAGGGTACTGACATGTGGTAGATAACAGGGTATATTGGGCTGTTACTGGGGGTGCTGTCGGGAATGCAGGAGTAGAGCTTTGAGCAGAGGAATGATTGGAATCAGGACTGGTTTGTTGCAAGCTGCCTGAGGCTGGGTATAACAAGTCTGACTAGGACTGTAGTATTGGTTGAACAAAACTCAGCTTACACATAGCCTGTCTGACCAAAGACTGCACTGCGTTTATACAGTCCACTAGCACATGTGGTGAACATGCTGAATAATGCTCCCAGAAGAAATCTGGATCATCCTCCAACAACCATACCAGTGATTCTATTTGATCCGTACTGAATGGTGGAAGAAAGTCATTCCTGCTTTCAGGGGTATTAGATGAAGCCAACTGAACACAAGCCTGAATCAATGGTTGCACCTCAGAGAGCTCCGTGCCCTGATCTACTAGGGAACGAGCGACCCGTATGCACTCTAGCAGCTGATCCCTGGCATACTCCTGCAGAGTCTGATAGGCATATTCTCTGTCATCTAAGACAAGCAGACACAAGTATATAACCTCCTCCGGATGCATCCTTCACAACAACAAGCCAAGATGGCTTCCCTGTGCAGCCATTTCTGGTCAGGAATGGCCTTGGTGTAATGTCAGGGCTCCGGGTATGACCAGAGGTGTGTGGACTGACACAGGGAAATGCAGGCTTCAGGTATAGAGTAAACAAGACAATTTATTAAAGACTAAACAACACAAACGCAGTGCAAGGTAAACATAACACAGTGCAAGCAACCCAACCTCCAACAGATAACCATATATACAAATCAAATGTAGTCGGGCAGACCGGGTCGGTAGCAAACAGGGTACCAGGAGCGAGCGGAAGAGTGGTCAGGAATAGCCGAGGTCTGGACAGGTGGTGTTCGTTCAGAGTCAGGATCAAAGGATGATGCAGGTACAGGGGCTCATGGAAAACATACACCAAGGCACTGATCACAGGCCTGGTCCTGTTTAAATACACCTCCTGCAATCAGCCTCAGGTGATGGCCTGATTGCAGGAGTGAGATTCTGGCTGCTGAGAGCACCCGCTGGCCAGCCTTGGTACTGCAGCCCACAAGGCAGGTGAGTCCCACCACCATTGGCGAGTCCATTCCTGACATCAATACAATAGAGTTAGGAGGGCCTGATCCTGGGAGCTTACAATCTAAGAGGTATGTGAAAGACCAAAGATGTACTAGGCTGCTGGTGCTCGCCAGTTCAACAAAAGGTAGCGTGGCACTAGTACTGGCACTCTTCTGCATATGAGAGTCATCAAAATTTACTGACAAGTGCTAACAGAGATCAGGCCTGATTCTGCGAACACTGCGGTTTTGTGTGCAATGTATCAAGTGACAGTGACCTACCTAAGCGTAGGGGCTAAACGCAGGTGCTGGCAGGTGTCGGGGCTGATCCCGCTAATGCTGCATTTTTGGGGACTCTATACTAATGTGAACGCTAGTATAGTGCTGATCTGATCAAAGATACTGATCCGTTCAGACAGTATACTAGCAATGGAGGTTTATTGTGTATGACCGTCTTCCTGGCAATCAAGAGGTTAAATGTGGTGACTTGTGTACTGACGGGCAATCTGATGCTATCTGGGACGGGCGTGAAAACCACGGGAGCGTGAACCACGTGTATATATATGTGATTTTGCACACTCGTGCTGTCCTGTAGCAGTGTGTCTGCTATAGGGCGGTCAGGAAGCTATTACAGAAGCGGTTTGTGTTATGTCGTTGTCAGGGATCGATGGTTCTGCTGCGATGTGCTGGGCGGCGCATGCGCAGAACACGGATGCACCCTAGCCAGCGAGCAGCGGGACCTGGGTGATCGCGACAGCCGCACATGTGCACTCGCGATCGCGGACACGCGCCTGACACCAATGACAGCGCAGGACGGGCTATTTAAACAGGACAGGAGGTATGTCAAATTGCCGTTTGGTCTTATCTGCTCTGTTCCTGATATCTGATCCTGTGAATCTTCTGTTGCCGACCTCTGCATTGTTCCTGACCCTGCTGACCATCTCCTGTTTAACCCCTTGCTTGCCTGACCATCCTTCTGCCTGATCCTCTGTACCGCGCTGTCCGTTAGTTACTGAACCCAGCTTGTGACCCTGACCATTCTCTGCCTGCTCCTCTGGTACCTCGCTGCCCGCACGTTGCTGACCTGGCCTGCCTGACTATGCCTTAAGTTTCCCAGACCATCCATCCATCCATCCTGCATGGATCTGTCCCTGTTACCAGGTCTGCCAGCCTCTTCACGTCAGGCACCTTTCCCCGCACGCCTGATGACACTTTCTACCATTGCCGGACGTACTCAGGGGTTGCGACCTGGTCTCAGTCTGCTCCAAGTCCATCCCCACCATCAGGGGCCCTGGTGAATAAGCAGATTGGGACTTAGACCCCGCGCCCTGAGGAACCCCGTGCTGTGGGCTGCTAGAGACGCCGCCAGGCGGTGCATAACAGTTATGTTACTTTAACTGACAATTGTGTGGTAATGCAACGCTACACTCAAATTAAATTTACATTTTTTCCCCCACAAATTGAGCTTTCTTTCAGTGGTATTTGATCGCCTGTGCGTTTTTTATTTTTTGCGCTATAAAAATAAAAAACCGACAATTTTGAGAAAAAAAAATATTTTGGACTTTTTGCTATAAAACATGTCCAGTAAAAAAATTTAAAAATCAAATGTTGTCATAAATTTCTGCCAAAATGTATTCTGTGACATGTCTTTGCTAAAAAAAAGCCCAATACGTGTAAATTAATTGGTTTACGTGAAAGTTATAACATTTGCAAATGGTATATATACTGGAATTTAATTTTTTTTTATACTAATAATGGCGGCGATCAGCGACTTATGGCAGGACTGTGGCGGGCATTCTGACACTGGGGGGGACTGACTTGGGGTCACCGACATCCCCAGTGACACCAATGCAGTGATCAGTGCTGGAAACTGACAGAGAATAGAGCTGCATTGAAAACAATGCAGCTGTGTTTCATGTCAGTGTTTGCCGGCAATTGCCGGGAACCGGCAGGCAATCAGCAGCGCGGGTAGGGCAGTATATATACGTGATTTTGCGCAGCAGTGCCGCCCTGCCACAGTATATGTACTGTGGCTGGTCGGCAACCAGTTAAAATCAAAGAACTGCTCACACAGAGCAACATGAATGAAACAAACACACGGATTGATTTACTAAAACTGCCTGGTGCATCTGTGCATGGTAGCCAATCAGCTTCTAACTTCAGCTTGCTCAGTTAAGCTTTGACAAAAAAAAAAAACTTGAAGCCGATTTGTTTCTATGCACAGCTGCTCCAGATTTCTCCCACTCTAGTTTTAGTAAATCGGCCACACAGTATCTAACAACTTGCCAACCACCCACTGTACGTTTATTGTGAGCCAGCGGCAGCTCCAGGCTAAGTGACATTCAGGTACGCTGCCTATGCAGGCCATAGACGGTTCATTTATTGGCTGATTTTTCGTCCGAAAGAATAATCGTCCGATTTCGCACTGTTAGTGGGGCAATGGCATTGGCAGATTTTCACGGTTCCTCCTTATTTCTTTTATCGGTCATGCTGGAAAATTTGTGAAAAACGGCCGATTTTCGCAATCATTGGTGGCAACAGAACGACCGATGTTTTGTTTTGAAAAATCAGCCGATGAACTGTCTATGGCCTGCATTACTTCCTGGTTTTTGGGTGTGCTGTGCCTGCCTCCTGCTGATCTGTGCTGTGGCCACAGGGCGCCTTAGGGCGAGTCTGACAGTAGGTTATATCCAATGATTTTGGGTTTATACCTGCTGATCAGCTGTGGCCAATCACAGCACAGACCACTTTTAGTTTGAAAACAGAACACACAGGATCTAGACAGTTTCTTCCTCCCTGAGCTTTTTATTCAGGGAAAGAAGCCAGCAGTGTGTGAGTAGAAGCAGCACATATTCACTTTTTAGGCACATTTAACCCTTTGATGCCCTGTCACCCAGCCAGCATCATTAGTACAGTGACTGTGTACAGTATTCATACTCATCACTGTTAGAGTCACTAGCAATGTCAGTGTCAGTCAGTTTGTATCCCTCCCAGCCAATGTCAGTTAGTGACTTTATTGCCCACCACACTATCACAGTCACACTATTAGTCACTGTTCACCGCCAGCACCAATGAACGTTTTGGAAGTCTTTGTTTTTGTTGTTATATTTTGAAATATATTTTTTGGGGATTTTGGAAGAAATCAATGAAGTTTTTGGAAGTTTTTATTTTTGTTGGTTAATTTATATGAGAGTGTTTATTGATTTGTTACATAAAATCACTCAGTAACTTGTTGTATGTTCCTAACCACTTCAAGTCCAGACACTTTCACCCCCTTCCAATGCAGGCCAATTTTCAGCTTTCAGCACAATCAAACTTTGAGTGACAATTACATGCAACACTGTACCCATATTAAATTTCTGTTGTTAATATTTGATTTGGGGTTTTTATTTTTTGCTTTATAAATGAAAAAAATCTGAAAATGTAGAAAAAAAATTTTTTTTTGCTTAGTTTGTTATAAAATTTTGTAAATAGATAATTTTTTTTCATAAATTTAGGCCAAAATATATTCTGCTACATTTTTGGGGTAAAAATAACCCAAAAATTTTTTAATTATTTAGTTTTCTGCGAAAGCTAGAGAGTCTGCAAACAATGGGATATATATTTGAAATTTGATCAGTTAGGATCGCTGTTAGGACGCTGGTATGTGGTATGGTGATGATCAGGACATTAGCATGATGTATGGTGGTGATCAGGATGCTGGTATGGCAGTAGCCAGGAAGCGGTTATGGGGGTGATCAGGATGCTGGTATAGGGTATGGCAGTGATCAAAACTCTCGTATGGGGTATGGCAGTGATCAGAACGCTGGTATGGGATATGGCAGTGATCAGGACGTTGGTATGGTATATGGGGTGATCAGTGGGATGGTATTGCACATGGCAGTGATCAGAGTGTTGGTTTGGGGTATGGTGGTGATCAGTATACTGGTATAGTGGTGATCAGGACATTGGTATGGTGTATGGGGGTGTTTTGTGTGCACTGGGACAGGTGACATTGTTTATTATAGATAATGTGGTGCAGTGATCAGGGACACAGGAGCAATAAACTGGGATGGCTGGCACTGCAGTGTGTAAGTGAACAAGCAGCCTGACAGGCTGCTGTACACTCAGACACTGCAGGATCGCTTCTCTCTAGTCTCACACAGAGCAGAGAAAACTGATCTTTACTTTCATTGTTTACTATGTGAATGCTGTGATTGGTCATAGCAGTCACATGATAAAACAGCACTTGATCGCCCGAACACAGCAGTAATGTGAGCTGCTGTGTCCAGGCAATACACCGATCAGCGGGCTCCGGGGTACGCGCTCTGTGAGCCACGCAGGAGCCATCGATGCTGGATGACGTACAAGAATGTTAGTCCGCATCGGCGCTGCTTCCCATCTGCCGTCTATGTAGAATGGGTAGACGGGAAGAGGTTAAATAAGCACTATGAATATTTTGATTTATTATATAAAATCACACAGTAGTTTGTTGAAAATTATGATATAAGCACTATGATAAGTTTACATATTTATTTAGAGCACAGTTACATCGTATATATTGATTGTCTATACGTGACTGCAGCTTTGTAGGTATTCACACAACTATGGCACGGATTAATTTAATTCATATTACAGTAGTATAGTGTCTGTACAGATCAGTATCATCACAATCAGAACTAGTGTCCCCAAAAACACACTGTTAGCTGGATCAACCCCGACCACTGCCAGTACTTGCGTTTAGACCCCCCAGCAACTGCAGTGTCAGTATAATCTTTCTGATTACTGCCACCACTGATAATTGTATCATTAACTAGTTGCCGACCGCAGATAGCCGAATGACGGCTGCACTGCGGCCGGCCAGTTCTGAGTGGACGTCATATGACGTCCTCCCAGAACGCGCTCTCCTGCGCGCCCCAGGGGGCGTGCACCCGGTGATCGCTGTGTCCTACGGACACAGCTGATCACGTGATGTGGTAAAAGGCCAATCACAGCGGCCTTTTACCACGTGATCAGCGGTGTCCAATGACACGCTGATCAGAGGGAAATGCAAGTGCCGGTT